TTTGTCTGATCAAAAAGTTTGATTTCCAGTCTCTTTGGGAAGATTTGCTATCATTACAATTTAACTGGTGTGTGTGTGTGTATGTTTGTGTGTGTGTGTGTATTTTATCCTTGGTATCCCACTGTTTCTCAAATTGATCTTCATCTCCTCCCCAAAAAATAAATTAGGAAAACAGCTTTCTCATATTTGCACACCCCTTATAGACCTCTTAGGAATGGGGTGAGGTCAACAGTAGACAGTTTAAGTTTAAAGTTTTGGGGGTTTGGGGAAGAAACTACAGAGTCAGGTAGTGCATTCCAGGCTTTGACCTCTCTGTTACTGAAGTCATATTTTCTGCAATCGAGTTTGGAACGGTTTACTTTGAGTTTATAACTATTATTTGCTCATGTAATGTTGTGGTTGAAGCTGAAGTAGTCATTGACAGGAAGGACATTGTGGCAGATAATTTTATGTACTATGCTTAGGTCAGACTGAAGTCGGCATAGTTCTAAGTTGTCTAAGCCCAAAATTTGGAGTCTGGTGGCATAAGGTATTTTATTGTATTTTATTTCATTTTAAGGTAGCATGAGAGTGATCTCTATGTCAATTATCATATTTGAAATAAAGAAACGGCATACTGACATTAAAAACTGGCACTATTACAGTCAAATTATACTTTATAGTGCTGTAAGTCATTTAATTTCAAATGTGTTCTGAACTGATTTTTACATTCTGGACTTATTGATTGGTTACTATTTCTCTGAAGTATAATGGAACTACATATTACATTGGATAAGTATCTGACAAAATGAAACTAATTCTATAGTATCACCTCTTGACCCTTTAGGATCAGACATGTAATTAGAGTAAGAATTCCCCCCCTCAATACTGTAATGGATCAATCTCATTAGGTATAACTAATTAATTTTATTGTTTTAGAAAAAGAATGAGAAAATATAATAATGGCTTTTTAATATTAATCACATGCAAAGCTAATCAGGGGACAGAAAACTATCAAAATTACATTGTCTCAAATTAATATCCAATGGGAAAAATCAAGAGTTAACACATATTTAAAGATCCCAATGGGTTGATCCCAAAGGATACACTAAAAACATGCAGGAGGTAGCCATGTGGTAGGGAGAGTTTATCTGGGAGGCTGGAAATTACAGTTAGTTTGAATAACTGCTTCTTGTTAAAAGTTAATAAGGGGCTCTGCCAGCAAAGTCAGGAGGAAACACATGGCTAAGGAATCCCACCCAGAGGCAGAGGGCAAGCGGGCAGCATGAGAGCGGAAGAATGGCGAGAGCCAAGCCCGAAAGGCAGCCAAGCCTCGCTGTGTCCACCCTGAGGTGGCCCTTCGGCCAAACGCCTTACCTTCGTGGGCAGCCATGGTGAGTAGAGTGGGTGAGGCACGGAGATCAGCTGGGCCGCAGGGGCCATGTGGTCTGGGCAAACAAGTGAGCAAAGGAGCCAGAAAGCAGCTGGGCAGCAGGTGTGACTCTAGGTACTGGCCAAGGTGGACGAGGTGAGATAAGGAGTGGCTGGGAGGGGAGGGTTGGGATGGGGCGAGGCCAGCCAGTGGTGGGATCAGCCAGTTCTCTGAACTGCGCAAAATATTAACAACCAATTTGCTTGAACCAGTGCGAACCAGCTGAATCCCACCTCTGATTTGTATTCTTATAGGAATTGAAGGGAATGTGATTATTAATGACAACTGAACTGCCTCTCCCTGGATATATTTCCATAATATTAAAAATAAAAAAAAATGATGTGCAGAGGAAACTGAAAGAACAATCTCTTTGCCAGGCCTGTCCAAATTTTGGCATTCAGGCAAGAAAGACCTTTGAGTCATTTTGAGGTGAAAGGTATAGTCTTACTAAAGGAAGTGGTTGCAGGATAAGCAAAGCAAGATCTGAATATTCATGTATAAATTTGGTGATTATCCCTTCTCCCGGGCCCTCCCCGCTTGATCATTTTGTTAATGTCCAATGGTACTCAATAGGTGTTTTCATAACAATTCTAAAATTTGGCATCTCTTTGGTGGGTGTTTGTATTACATTCCCATGCGTGCCTCCTGGGATCTTTCAAACTTTATCTCTGGTTGGCAGGTCTGGTTTCTATCAAACCCCCCACCCCAATTCCGACTCCCCCTTCTTTATGGCAGGATGCCATCAAAGTGAAGCAGGGCAGAAGTGACATGATGGCAGATCTGACACACTTACTGTACAGTCTCTATTGCACATTCTGGTTGTTTGAGCCCATCCCACAGCATTTCTAATGGTTTGTCATCTGAGTTCTTGAGGGACAGGTCTAACTCTCTCAATCTCAGTTTTTTTCTGAGAACTTCTGCAAGATGCCTGCTGCAGGATTCACTCAGGATCTCTCCAGAAAACCTGCAGAAAAGAGTGAAAAATATTGCAATTACCTTTTGAAAAGCAAGCATGGAATGTATTCTTATAGGGATTAAAGAGAATGTGATTACGTATGGACACATTTCCAAAATATTAACCTTTACAGGATGGTTTTGCAGATCAAACTGACTAGGTGGCTCAGTGGCTAAGACACTGAGCTTGTTGATCAGAAAGGTCAGCAGTTCGGTGGTTCGAATCCCTAGTACAGGTCTCCTGCGTGAGCAGGAGGTTGGGCTAGATGACCTCCAAGGTCCCTTCCAACTCTGTTACTGTTACTTACTTTAGCTTCTTTATTGTACATTGCATAGTAGTTCCATTGTTTTGTCATTGGGGCTTTTGAGGGATAGCTCTAACTCTTTCAGTCTCTGGTTTTTCATGAATACTTCTGCAAGATGTCTGCTGCAGGTTGTGGTCAAGATCTCTCCATCAAGCCTGCGGAGAATAGTATGGAAAATTACAATTATTTCTTTTTTAAAAAATATTTTAAAAAAACATAAACATAAAATACATCTTTTAGAACGAAGCATTGATCCAGTCATAAATTGGTACAATCGCTAATTCATCTTTAAAAATATTTCATCTCCACTAATTATCATCTTGTAAAAATAATAATAATAAAAAATAAAACAGTAAAAAAAACTAGCTCACAATAACTGACTCAAAAACAATAACCTTTCTATTTCTTCACCTCAAATATTAATTTCCAAATAACACAACTTAATGTTTTACACAATTGTTTCCCTAAATTCTATCTATTTTATAATCCCCTTATCCAAAAACCCGTTACTTAAATCTTTAAATCCTAACTCAATATCATTTCATTATCTTTTTATTTTATTTGAATGAATGTATTTTAAGAATATAAATCATTACTATTATCTTAAACAGCATCTTAACAATTACTCACAACAAATCATCTTCATTATTATTTATCTCACTATAATCCTAATTTAGCCAATAATCCCAACATATTTATCACAGCACATCATCTTCATTTTAGTCCTCCTTTTACTTTTAATCCCAGCATAATCATTTTTATTTTAACTGTCCAACATAATCATTTATTTTTACTATTATTTCCAGCAAAATCATCTTTCTTTTTACTGTCAAACCCAGTATGATCATTTTGTTTTTGCTGTCAAACCCACCATAATCCTCTGAATTTTACTGTTAAACCCAGTAAAATCACTTTATTTTTTGCTGTCAAACCCAGCAGAATCTTCTGAATTTTCCTGTTAAACCCAATATAGTCATTTTTAATCTCAACATAAGTTTCTTTAATTTTACTGTTATACCCAGTATAATCACCTTATTTTATAATCATTACTTATTCATATTCATTAGCATTCTCTAATTCAGTATATCTAATCTTGTTTTCAATCTCAGCTTTGTTTACAATTTAACATTGAGGCTTAATTCTTACATCAAACATATCCACATATGAAATCAATAAAGTTTTTTGGATTCTTCTCATATTCATATATTTTCTTATTCATCTACAGAAAGCTCCTTTTTATCAAAACTACCCATCTTTACTTCATTTTTCTATTTTAGTCACATTATTTTATTTTCCATACAAACACCTCCTTTTATAATTAGTGTACATCTAAACAATACAGTTTCATTTTTTAATCAAACTATTTTTTGTTCTTCTTTCTAGCGTGAATATTTTATTTCTTCATTTCTTTGTCTGTCAAATTATAATCAATTTCAAATTCAGTGCTCCCAATATTAATTCTTCATGTATCATTTTAGTTCTTTTTGTTCCTTATATTTCCTGCGAAGTACATCAACTTCCTTCTTTTATTAAAAAATCCATTGTATTTCCTCTTTCTTTCCCTCAAAAAAACCATCTGTAGACAAAGAAAAAACCTCTAGTCCCGACCACTCACGGCTGTTTCTCAGTAGTTTCACCATGCTCCAAGACAAATGACAAATTACAGTGTTTCTTTTTAAAATGGAAGGTGTTATTCTGCAATCCACACTTTCCCTTCGTCAAATACATCTCCATTTTGTTGTGATTATATAACAATCCAATTCAATCCATTTCTTCTTTTAAAATTCTTTTTTCCTTTTTTCCAAATCCAAATCTAATTTAAACAAATTCTTTCCAAGCTTTGCAATATGCCTCACTATTTATTTATTCCAATTACTTCAAAACCAAAATAGTTTGCCTTGCGGATCTTTTCCTTCTAAAGTCACTTTTCAAGATCTTCTATGCCCCTGTAATCCACAGCCGCTATTTTTAGGCTAGGGGTCTTTCAAATTATAATTATTGCTCTAGCGTTGTTTCAAGCCTAGGTTGGTGTCACTCACCCAGCTTCAAAGAGCTCTGTTCTTTTCACTTTCCTCCTGCACATCTCTTTTTCGGTATGTCCCAGCTTCGTGGCAGCCACCATGGCTGCCGCCCCCCACCGCCGATGCAGAGAGTTCCCTCCGACCTCCAAGGAACTTGCCTGTTCCTCTTGGTCATCCGAGGCACCTCTCTTTCACCCCCATCCGTGCAGGACAGTTCGGGTCCAAAGACCCACTGGCGGTGGTTCGGCAGTCGGGGTTTTTGCGGGGCTCATCAGAGCCCGCTATTTCCCCGACTGTCTCTCTGCAATGTCAAACCGGAAGTCGGAAATTACAATTATTTCTTGAAAGTTCTAACTCTTTCAGTCTCTGGTTTTTCATGAATACTTCTGCAAGATGTCTGCTGCAGGATGTGGTCAAGATCTCTCCATCAAGCCTGCGGAGAATAGTATGGAAAATTACAATTATTTCTTGAGAGCGAGGCAGGTATGTATTTTATTGGAACTGAAAAGAATGTGCTTCCCCAGATATATTTCCAGACTATTAAAAATCAAAAAACAGTTGCGCAGATCAAATTGAAAGGGGGGGGAAATCACTTACTGCAGTGTCTCTATTGTACATTGTGGATGCTTGAGACCCTCACACAGCAGTTCCATTGTTTTGTCATCTGGGTTCTTGAGGGACAAGGATAACTCTCTCAATCTCTGGTTCCTCCTAAGTGCTTCGGCAAAATGCCGGCTGTAGGATTCAGTCAAGATCTCTTCAGCAAGCCTCCAAAGAAGGGTATGGAAAATCACAATTATTTCTTGAAAAACAAGCATCAAATGTACTCTTATAGTTATTGAAGGAAATGTGATTGTGTAAGGCAACTGAACTGCCTCATCCTGGATATATTTCCAGAAAAGTAACAAGTCAAAAAATGATTGTGCAGCTCAAACTGAATTGAAGGAACAGTCACTTACTCTAGCGTTTCTATTGCACATTCTGGATGTTTGAGACCCTCACACAGCACTTCCATTGCTTTGTCATCCGGGTTCTTGAGGGATAAGAATAATACATTCAATCTCTGGTTTTTCCTGAGTACTTCTGCAAGATGCCTGCTGCTCGATTCAGTCAGGGTTTCTCCAGCAAGGCTGCAGAAAAGAGTGAGAAAAATTGCAATTATCTTTTGAAAAACAAACAGGAATGTATTTTTACAGGAATTGAAGGGAAAGTGATTATGTAAGACAACTGAACTGCCTCTCCCTGGATATATTTTCAGAATATTAACAGTCACAAAAAGGGGTTGTGAAGATCAAACTGAATTGAAAAAAACGGTCACTTACTGCAGCATTTCTATTGTACATTCTGGATGTTTGAGACCCTCACACAGCTCTTCCATTGGTTTGTCATCCAGGTTCTTGAGGGACAATAATAATGCATCCAATCCCTGGTTTTTCCTGAGTACTTCTGCAAGATGCCTGCTGCTCGATTCAGTCAGGGTTTCTCCATCAAGGCTGCAGAAAAGAGTGAGAAAAATAGCAATTATCTTTTGAAAAACAAGCTGGAATGTATTCTTACAAGGACTGAACGCAATATGATCATGTAGGAACTGAACTGCCTTCCTCTGGATATATTTTCAGAATATTAACATCAAAAGACTTTTGTGCCGATCAAACTGAAAGTAAATAGTCACTTACTCTAATATCTCTATTGTGCATTGTGGATGTTTGAGCCCCTCACAGAGTAGTTCCATTGTTTTAGCATCTGGGTTCTTGAGGGCTAGCTCTAACTCTCTCAATCTCTGGTTTCTCCTGAGTACTTCTGCAAGATGCCTGCTACACGACATGGTCAGGATCTCTCCGCCAAGCCTTCAAAGAAGAGTATGAAAAATTATAACTATTTCTTGAAAAACAAGCATAGAATGTATTTTTATAGGACTTGAAGTGACTGTGATTATGTAAGGCAACTGAACTGCCTCACCCTGAATATATTTCCAGAAGAATAACAGTGAAAAAATGATTGTGCAGCTGAAACTGAGAGGTATATGCATTTCTTACTTTAGCTCCTTTACTGTACATTCTGGATCATTGAGCCCATTGCACAATAGTTCCATTGTTTTGTCATCAGGGCTTTTGAAGGTCAGTTCTAACTTTCTCAAACTCTGGTTTTCTCTGAGTACTTCTGCAAGATGCCTGCCGCAGGATGCAGTCGAGATCTCTCCACCAAGCCTGTGGAGAATAGTATAAAGAATTAAAATTATTTCTTGAAAGTGAGGCAGGTATGTATTTTATTGGAACGGAAGAGAATGTGCCTCTCCCTGGATATATTTACAGAAAATTAACCCTCAAATGATAGATCAACCTAAAAGGAGTAGAGTAGTTGCAGAGTAGTTCCATTGTTTTGTCATCTAGATTCTGGATGTCCAAGTGTAACACTCTCAGTCTTGGGTTTTTCCTGAATACGTCTGCAACATGCCTGCTGAAAGATTCACTCAGGATCTCTCCAGAAAACCTGCAGAAAAGAGTGAAAAATATTGCAATTACCTTTTGAAAAGCAAGCATGGAATGTATTCTTATAGAGTTTAAAGAGAATGTGATTATGCATAGAAACTGAACTGCCTCTCTTTTATTGTTTAGTAACAATGAGAAAGTGCAGATGTGTTACCTTTCCTTCTTCAGGTTTCAAGGAAACTACTCTCTCACAGTATAGAAAATCTCTATGACTTATTGTCTACCTTTCTGTGATATGGATGGTTTGGGTGCCAATCTTTATTCTTGTAGGTCGGCATTTTCCAGCTAAACATGGGGGGGGGGACACACACTATGGATTCTTCGCGCTCGGCTCGCAACTCTTTTCAAAGACTTTTAAAACTCTTTCTCTTCCTAAGGGGAAAACTCTTCGGAAGTTTGTAGATTTGGCGCTGCGCGGTCAGATGCTGCCCCCTCGCGGCACAAACTGGGAGAGTCTCAAAAAGACAAAATGGAAAGGGCAGAAAAGGGGCGACGCCGGTGGTGGGTGAGGAGACGGCGAGGCTCCGCCTGTCCCTTGGCCCGGAAGGCGTGGTGAGTTTTTACAAGAAGCTCCCTTCCTCAGCCTGGAGCTATTCCCCCCCCCCCCCGGACTTAGGACCGAGCAGCAAATTCGCCAGGCGGAAGAGGCGGCGGGGGTGGCTGGGTGGGTGTCCGAATTGGCGGCTTGGCCGGAGTTGGAGAGAAGAAGGAGGGTCGGAGCTGCCGCACTTCCTCGTCTCCGAAGCTTTGGAGTTCCCGTAATCGAGGGCTAGACGGACTGACTTGGGCCGGGCAGGTGATGTCCTCCCGCTTCTGACTTGATGAGCGGCGCCTCTTTTCAGAACTTCCTCCGTTCCTTTGGAATATCTGTGTGCAGATGGGCTGGCTCTTTTCTTCCCTAGAGAGCAGCAGCCTGAAATTTTGGACTATATTTCCCATTAGTCCCTACTAGCTGATTAGGAATTGCTGGTGGAGACTTGCCTGCCTGCCTCTCCTTTACACCCTTACCACACAGAATGGATCCATCTGAGTCCTTCTTTCCATGTGGATTTTAAGCTGATCTTCAGTGCCAGGCTCTGAGTGCCAGAGCAAGGGTGGGGGGGAGAGAGGATGGGCATGGAAATCCATCCCTTGGCACAATGCCATGCAAACAGAGCAGCCTTTCTCACTTTTGGGAACTTTAAGATGGGTGGATTCCAGGTAGCTGGGGAATTCTGGGGGTTGAAATCCACCCATAATTTCCCAAGGGTGAGAAACACTAAGATAGAATATATATATTGTGTGCCTTATTTTTTTTTTCCCAGCTAGAACTCCAGCCATTGCTCCCTCCCTCTTGTTGATATGGCAGAAGTGGGTGAAGACCCTGCTGTATTTACCACGGATGCTCTGCCTTCTGATATCAGGCTCCTCCCAACATTGACCAACGCCTATCTGGGCACCCGAGTCTACAGGGACATCGTTCATGTTAACGGGGTGTACAATGGAGAAGTTGGGCAGACACACATCGGGCTGATCTCCCCAGTCCCCTTAATGTCAAAATGGATGTGGATGGGGCTGATGATTTGAGGGAGACCTTCTCTTTGGACACCAGGATAGGTAAGTGGCAATGCCACCTTCGTCATCTATATCAGTGGTCCCCAACCCCCGGTCCGCGGACCGGTGCCGGCCGTGGAGTACCTGGCACCGGGCCGCGCAGCGGCCGGGGGACATGAACACTGCAGCGCAAAGGCTCCTGGGCCGTGCGCAATGGGCCGTGCGCAAAAGCTCCTGGGCCGTGCCCCCACCCCTGCGCGCGCTCAGCGGGCCGCGGCGATAAAAAGGTTGGGGACCACTGATCTATATTGTTTCCATGGCCAATATATTCCTGCCACCTGGTCAGGGCAGTTTTCTTCCATCAACATGTTGAATATAGAAATTAGCTTTTGTTTTGAAAGGTAGTGTAAAGCTAAGATTTAAAAAGGAGAAAAAGGGGTGGAAAATAGAAATTTCAAACTGAGCTATGTTGTCTGAAGTTTGAATCCCTTCCTAGCTCATAAAAGAATCTGAAAATCTCTTAAATGAACCTATTTTGAAAGGCAGATTTTAAAACAGCCTCTTCAACTAGATCTCCAGATGCAGCAAAGTAGTCCCCATTAGCAACAGGCTGACATGAGTTGTCCAGCATGTCTTGTCCAACGGGGAAGCCTCCTAAAACTTTCAACCTGAAAGAAGGCAAGAATTTTTAAGATACGAGAGTGCTCAAAATCTGGAGAATATTTTCACTTTCTGTGAAAATGGATATGGTAGCAATATGGAAAATCAATTGTATTTTGTGGAATTTAATAACATATTTTGATTTCTTGTGACATACTTAAGAAAAGTTGTCACAAATGTAGAGCTCATTCTCTGTTAACCTGCTTATCTTTCACTCTTGGTTGTTGAACAAAGGTGAAGGGGCAAATGTTCCCATAGCGGCAAAACTTTTCTTATCTATAAAAGTCTCAGACTCTTTAGCTTCCATCCCAGAGTCATTTGCCACCCTGTCCAGGTCAGGTCTTGCAGGCTGGATACCATAGCAACAGGGTCATATAAAGTCACGATGTCAAGTTAATAAAAACTCTAGTACTGGATGTTAAGCTGGGAGCTTCTGCACAGAATAGCACAGTGTACTGTGAAAATTCCCCCCCCCCCCCATGGGGTATCACTGCTGTCCTTATTAAGGAGCTCCTAACAGCTTGTAAGAATTTGGATATCAGCTTGCTTGCTTTGTATGTTTTTTGTGTTAAGCTTTCAAAGCTGTTAGCTTAAGTTAATAATAAATCCTAAAATTTCTTTATTCCCTGGTATGTTTATTCTCTCTGGATCCAAAAGACCAATTGTGTGACACTTGCAAAACAATGGATTACCTTTCAGTCCTTGAATTGAATTGAATGGTTAGGCAGACAATCCCAAAGATCCCTTTTCATATTTCAGTTCATCAAATAACAGAAGGATTATATTGCCATGTTTCAATTTCTTATGCCAGACCCTTTTGCTTATGTGAAATTGCAAAATAGATTTGACATGAAAATTTAGGGTATGCATTCAAACTGACCCTTTCCTTCCGTCTGCAGGGACGTATATCCATACAGCTCAGTGCTCAGAATATACAGCTACTCACACAGTCTATGCCCACCAGTCTCTTGTCCACCTTCTGGCTTTCAGCATAACAATCGCAAGATCAGCTCTCGAAACTAAACCCATCACAGTGAATCTCCACACCCAGTTCAAACCAGAGAGTCCAGACCTGGACTTGCAGAAAGGGCCAGATTTCCTGGGAGCTCAGTGAGTATTATTGTAGGAATGTTTTCTGTGGCTCCTGGCCAAGCATTGAAAGACTTCAGTAACAAAGCTTGGTCATTTTTCTTGTGGTTTTGAATAGGGAATAAATGCAGTTCCCTCCAGAGGACACAGGGAGGCTGTCAGGAAACCCCTATCATGCTAAGAGGGTGCTTTGGATTATAAGAAAAGGTGGACTTTGTCTAACATTGCCTTCCCTAACCTGCTGTCCTCCAGATACGCTGGCTCTACAATTTCTTGAAATCCCAACTAGCTTGGTCTACAAGGCAGAGTGATTGAGGGAGAAGAGAACCATTGGCCACTGCACTTAAAAGGTATAGGCAGAAATACAAAGAATAAGGAGAATGGGAAGATGGAAAAGGTTTAGATTAGAGTTCAAAAGGTATGCAAAGCAAAGTCTTTGTGCTCAATGAGTATAAAATTCCAGTATAAAATGTTTCTGTTGTTTAGTAGATCCTCTAATATCCAGAGAGAAACATAAGGATTCCCATTTTTTTCTTTCTCTTTAGCTATCTATATGGAAAGACATTGGTCCCAGAAGTAGAGGGTGGCCCCCAGCCTACTGTACACATGATCTGGACCCCGGTGCCCCAATCAGTGACCCTCCCTGGAGACCAGAAGGAGCAGAGATGGGAGTTCCTCACTGCCCTAGCAGAGTCTGAAGAGGTTGTGCAAAGGACCTTTTGTGAAGGGATGTCCCTGATTGGCTCTGGTTCCTTATATCTGTCTCACACCCAGGCATGGGCAGCACTCTGGGACGGCTGCTGTGTAGATGTGGACGGGCCTCTTCCCTTCAGCCAGGCCATATATGGCTGCCTGTATTACCTGCTGAGTGCCATTCCTCCTCTGGGCTCTGCGAACGTCCCTTTCTCTGGAATCAGCCCAGGAGGCCTTTCCAACGGCACATCCGGTGAAGACTACTGGGGCCATGTCTTCTGGGACCAGGTGAGCAAAGGGAACCGCCCCAGTTTTCTACTGCTGGATGAAGTGGAGATGAATTGGAGAAGATGCTGCCTGGCATGGCAACGTCCTGGTCATCTTCTGTCCTGCAACTATTGTTAGCTTTCTGTAATGTGCATGCAAAGACTAAAAGGTGTTGTGAATTTTGCCCAGTTCTGCTTCTCTCTGTTGCAGGTTGATGTAAGTACCATGCAATCAACTGTGAGTTTAGATATGTGACTCAATCTGGAAAGTGAAGATAGAAAGTTAGACTTAGTTCATCTCACCTGGCATAGATGGGATACAATGTATGTGTGCCTTTAACCAAGAGATTTTTTTTAATTGGAGGGTCATGGATTGAATCTGGCTATTATTTGTGTTCTATCCTGAGGCACAGTCTCTGCTTCTCAAATAAAATATCTTTTCAAAATGGTCAACAAATTGCAATGTTTTATTAGCAAATGATCTGGCTCTGGATCTGTCTCTATTTCTTCCCTCTTCCCTCCCTCCCTCTCTATCCATTTCTTTATAACTTAAGCTTTGCTAACCTTCCAATTGTTTCAATGGGTTTTCACATGGCATGTGAAATCCCATGTTTTTATTATTGCTCTTGCACTTCCTGATTTAAACACTGTCCCCTAAATTGTGATGTGCATTGGGACTAACTATGCATATTCACTTTAAGATTCTGGGCCCGTCATTTTTTCTTCCACAGTCTCCTGAGGAGGATTTGATACCAACTTTCCACCAGCCTCCTGCCCCAGAGAAGAATATTCATCATGTGGTTCTCTAGTTTAGTTTTTAAACTGAAGCGACATAATTCCTAGGGCCCAGATTTTGTTTTGAGGGTGGGGTTGAAGAAACTTGTCTCCCGTTCTCCATCTCACCCTCATCTGAAGCGGGGAGCCCTTATGGGAAAGGAATAAGTGCTGGCTTTACTCTAATTTGCAGATCTTTTTCATTTGGTGGCAATATTTATATATATTGTCCTTTTTTGTTGTTAAATCTAGGATACCTGGATCTACCCGAACATCCTGCTTTTCTATCCAGAAGCGGCTTGTGCTATCTTAAAATACAGGATCCAAACACTAGAGGGAGCTCTACACAATGCACGGGAACAAGGATACAAGGTAGAAGCCACTTACATAGGCAAGAGGAAATACGGCATCTCTTTCCACAGAAGGCTTGGAACCAGTTTCCTTCATTATTTCCTTTAGTCATGGCAGGGATCCACACAGAGGTTCCCCTTGACTTGAATGGTTTTTAATTTTAGCATTTCGGCAAGTTTTCAAAAAACAAAAGTAAAATTCTGGTACAGCAGCAGAAACTCCTTTGAAACAAGAGTGGCTCTAAACAGTTATGAAAGCCTGGATGATATTCAGAAGCAGCTCTTTCAATCTGAAGTGGGGAAGAGCCTTGGTGGCGCAGCAGACTAAAGTGCTGTTAAGTAGCACCAGCTGCCTGCAATTACTGCAAGTTCAAATCTCACCAGGCTCAAGGTTGACTCAGCCTTCCATCCATTTGATGGTAGGTAAAATGAGGACCCAGATTGTGGGGACAATAAGCTGACTTTGTATAAAAAAGAACACCACTTGGGGGGGCTGAAAGCCCTACTAAGCAGGTATATACAAAAGTATGACGGCTATTGCTTAACGCATTGTAAGCCGCCCTGAGTCTCCGGAGAAGGGCAGCATATAAATCAAACCAATAAGTACATACGTACGTACGTACGTACGTACGTACGTACATACATACATACATACATACATACATACATACTGGAAGTAAAAGGGCAGGGAGTGGTGTCTAAATTGAGGAGATTTTAACTCTTTTTCAGAAGTTAGATGACTCGGGAGTTAGATTTTCCAGATTCGGACCTTGCTTTGAAGACAAGTCAGGGATCTCTTCTCTGTTCTTCAGAAAGCATAAATGGTTAGAACAGGTCAGGTGCTCCAAATTTCAACAGGCTAATTTGAAAATAATTTATGGAAGAATTTCTGAAGTAGCACAATGGAAAATTCAGGGTGAGTTTCTAGCGTTGTCTAGAATTTATTAAATAAAGTAATTTAGACCAACCACCAGTAATACCACATGAATATATAATTTGAAATTAAGCTAGATAAATTGTTGTAGCCCTAGTGGCATGGTGGTTAGAATGCAATATTGCACTCTAATTCTGCTGACTGCCAGCAGTTTGATTCTCACCGGCTCTAGGTTGACTCAGCCTTCCATCTTTCTGAGGTCAGTAAAATGAGGACTCAGATTGTTAGGGGCAATACACTGATTCTGTGAACCGCTTAGAGAGTGCAATAAAGTACTATGGAGCAATATATAAGTCTAAATGCTAGTGCTATTGGAGTAAGTTTCTAGTGCTCAGTGTTATGGCAATGTGCTTAAACAACAATGAACAATTACACAGTAGTAACAATTTCTAAGGTCATAATTCTGAAGAGCAGACTTCCTTCAGAAGTTGGCTGCTAAAACTCCAGTGATGCTTGTGTAACATACAGGGATTCAGAGGGCACAAGTATGTTAAGCATTTTTCAAATGTGCTACTTGATACTGAGGGTTTAAAATCAGTTAATTTAAGTCTCAGTAAATCTTATGGTAAACTATAGAGGTGGGGTGGGAGTTATGCCTTTGAAACAGTCTTAACTCCTGGTGACTCTCTGGACTAATCTCTGCAGTTTTCTTGGCAAGACTTTGGAAGTGGCTTGCTATTGCCTTCTTTCTAGAGCTGAGAATAAACAACAATGCCCAAGATCACCCAACTAGATTGCTTCCTAAGGGGATACTAGAACTCAGAATTTCCTGATTTCTAGCCTGATGCCTTAACCATTGCTCCAGACTGGCTATAAAGCCTGGCAACATCTAACCTGCAGTATTGGCATCACAACAGAAAACCTCTTGACTTGCCTATTGGATCCAGACAATGGCCTTCGTGTGCCATCTTCCCGGTGTTCTCTTCTTTCCTATGAACATGTCGCTGAATAGTGAAGGTGCTGGATTCAACCCCTTCCCCATGAGTTTTTACCCCATTTGACCCAAGTGGAGAGTTTTGTGGGGAACCACAACTTAACAACAGCAAGAACTATTCTTTGTCAACTGAACAAGGCACAGAATGACTTTGAAAAGTTGCCTTCCCTCACTGAGGACGGAAACTGGATTGAGCAAACGAGGCCAGTGGCCATTCTCTAGCAGGCTCTTCTGTCATGCAGGAAAAAGCTGCCCATTCCTGAACAAGGATGCTCTGGATTGAAAGCCCTCAAAGAAAGGAAACATTTTACTATTTAATATGCCTTGAGCTTATCAAGATATTTTATTTTATTTTGGCTTTGGTTTTGATTGTGGCAGGGTGCAAAGTTTCCCTGGGAGAGTGCGGCAACGGGCCGAGAGGTCTGCCCTGAGAAAATTTATGGAGACGAGGAGATCCACATCAATGGAGATGTGATGCTGGCATTCGAGCAATATTTCTGCATCACTCAGGTAGCTGGAGCTGGGCTTGGAGTAGCCACTGTTGCCTCCTGTCCTGATCCTGTTTTTGCCAGCAAACCCGGTTAGCCTGTCTGAGTCAGATGGGGCACTCCAGGGTCAATGGAATCTCTCCTGATGCGCTTCTAGGACTTGAAGCTCTTTCAGCAGGAAGGTGGCTGGATGTAGTCCAGGCCATTGCTCAATACTGGTGCAGCCGAGTTGTGTGGAACTCTGAGGAAGGAAACTATCACATTGTTGGTAAGTGTGTAAGGGAACTCCTGAGCAAGGATAGAAGCCAACTCAGTGCATCTCCTCTAGCAGCTACAGCTGATGAGGCAGAACCTGTAATGATAGGTGGGAATGACCTTGGGAGACAGAAGGAAGAGCAATAAAGGGTTTTTTTTTAATGCCTAAATGGATTGTAACCAAAATGCACCCTTCAACCTTTACCCATCAATACTTATTCTAACAGTTATTCTGGGAGGAAAAAAAGGATTGGACAGGTTATAGGTGTCCATTCCTAACCGTGAGGACATCACAGTGGTGCCTATGGAAGGGCTGCTGAGTTCTAAAAATGTCTGCCTCCTTTCAGGTGTTATGCCCCCAGATGAATATCATTGCACTGTAGATAATTCTGTCTATACAAATGCAGTTGCCCAGAGGAGGTAAGAGATTTCCAGAATCGCTGATCCTGCTTCTCTGCCCTTCCCCTTCTGGAAATTCTTCACTGTCCTTCTCTTCTTCCAGAATTGCTGTTCTTTTCTTCTATGTCTTTTGACTTTTTTCTACTTTAGACTTTTTTATGGTTAACATTGAATTCACTTTCTCAATGCATTTGTTATCTATTATAAACTTAAATACAGGTAGTCCTCGACTTACAACAGTTCATTTACTGACCGTTCAAAGTTACAGCATCACTGAAAAAAAACGACGTGACCATTTTCCACATGACTGTTGCTGCACCCCCGTGGTCACATGATCAAAATTCAGATGTTTGGCAACTGGTTCATATTTATGACAGTTGTGGGGTCCCAGATCCCATTTTGCGACCTTCTGACAAGCCAAGTCAATGGGGAAGCCAGGTTCACTTAGTAACCGTATTACTAATTTAACAACTGCGCTGATTTACTTAACAATGGTGACAAGAAAAGTTGTGAAATGGGGCAAAACTCACTTGACAAATGTTTCACTAAGCAACAGAAATTTGGGGCTCAATTGTCGTAAGTTGAGGACTACCTGTAATTTAAAAGTTCATTGGCATACTCTATCCTTCAAGAAGATAAAGGATAATTACCATAGGCTGAGCCTCGTGTCATATTTTTTTGTCTGTCTTGCTGGGGAGTTTCATCTCTTCAGCCCAACTCTTGGGAAGATGTTCTGAATTTTCTGGTCTGAAGTCCAAACCAAGTGCACTATATTTGTCAACTCCCTCTTCCTTCCCACTTCCAGTTCACACAGAATTTACTTTCTGGTTTCCAGGAGGAGTTGACTTTCAAATGCAGCGATGGTTTAAGATTAACCTTTCCCTTTCGTTCCCTCCTCACCTCCTTTGAGAAAGATACTGCCCATGTAAAGAAAGGAAAAGGAGGCCAATCAAATAGAAATAGAGTAATATTTTTTGTAAGGATACTCGTCTTACGAAATATATATTGCTTCTTTACAAATTGTAAATACAAATTGTAAATGCAAATTGTAAATGCAATTGAAAAACTTCTCCTAATTGGTTTGAATAATATAAAATCAAGTACAAATTTCCAAGTACTTTAAGGATTATTTGGGAATCTTTTTCAAATTCAGTTCATCAGTGTGACTGTTGTCTACAAATGTGTTTCTCTAGCTTTAGATTTTGTCATTACATCCCTAACAGTTAATGCCAGAGAAGACGTCCCTAGTGTGGGCCAGTTATGGAATCAGATCATTCCAAATTTGGATGGGTTCAATCTAATCTTCCACATTGTACAAAAGAAAAAATAACCAATTAAGCAATCCATCAGTGTTGGCTATCCAAGATCTCAGGCCCCATGTTCATTTAAAGACACTCTAAAGAAAAAGGAATGTAAATACACAGATGATAAACTTGAAAATGTTGCTGCTGATTTTCTTGGTTTCACTAGACGCCATCTCTTTGAAATGTATGAAAAAGCAACAGCATTGTTCAGAAATCAATACTCTGCTCCCAAGTAATACTGGTAAAAAGCAGAAAAGTTTAAATACAATTGCAAACCTTGTGTACATACTTTTTAATGTAACATTTTCTTTGAACAAATTCTGCCTGTCTTTACCCCAGTACTAGAGGAAGTCCCCAAAACTTCTTTAAGTGGCATATAACTGATTTGTCTTCTGCAACAAAATGTATGCTGTTGTACCTTTGGAATGCCATTTAATTTCACAGAAGAAAACATTAAGCAAGTATGACATCAAAGAGATTAAAACATGTGTTGGGAGGAATAATTTAATACCTCTTTAATACCAAGTCAGGAGCAACCTCAAAGAAAAATAACTGTTGTCTTTTAAAATGCTAAATGTCAACCTTTTTCCAATTTATAATTCTCTGTTAGGTTAACTCAGCTAGATCTTTTTCCCTCCACACCATTTCAGCTTGAAATTTGCAATTGACTTGGGCTCCCAATTGCATTTTGTTGTGCCCGGAGAGTGGAAGGAGATTATGAAGAAACTTAAAGTGCCTTTGGATAAGAGCAGATGTTATCATCCAGAATATGATGGATATTGTCCAGGTGAGGGATTCAGAAGAATAAACCAAGATGTTCATCCTAACTTCAAAACCAACTGCACTGCATATCAAGTGTTCACCTAATCATGGGAATGTAACCATCACTCAGCTTGCATGCTAATGTGGGGGGCATCAAATTAATATTTTGCCCAGTGTTCAATATTTTTGCATTCTTGCTCAGGGATGTACTTTCTCCACTTCGGGAATGAGGATGAGGAGAAGAATAGTGCAAAGCCAAGAGATTTTCCTTTTCCTCTCACCAAGAAAAAAAAAAGGCAAAATTGTTCTATTCTCACTTTCATAGATATTTGGAAACACAGTGATTTCTTTGCCAGAAGGAAATGGAAACCTTTGTTTTCCCGTTCCTTCCAGTTATCCCCTGGAATCCTCTGATTGCCTGAAACTGCTTGAAACCATTAGGACTGCATTGGTTGTGTCAAAGGCAACACAGGCTTTTGACACTACATGTGGCTTTTGATTATGACTTGTCTACCCCTTCAAGAAGGGGACACAGTGGCTCAGTGGCTGAGCTTGTTGATCGAAAAGTCAGCAGTTCAGCAGTTCGAATCCCTAGTGCTGCGTAATGGGGTGAGCTCCCGTTACTTGTCCCAGCTTCTGCCAACCTAGCAGTTCGAAAGCAAGTAGAAAAATAGGGACCACATTTCATGGGAAGGTAACAGCATTCTGTGTACCTTTGACATTTAGTCATGCCGGCCACATGACCACGGAGACGTCTTCAGACAGCGCCGGCTCTTTGGCTTTGAAGAGATGAGCACCGCCCCCTAGAGTCAGGAACGACTAGCACATATGTGCGAGGGGAACCTTTACCTTTACCCCTTCAAGAGGGAATGAGTTGGAAAGAGATAACTCTCACATATTGGCTAAATTAGTATTTAAACTGGTGGGCCAGATAATAGAATATCGGCAAGTTGCTTCTTCAAATGGACATTTTAGCAGGCTCCTAGAGCTTTATTGCTGTAGGGCTAAAAAAAAAAAAAAAAAACAAGTGAGCTTTTCTCAGCATGTTAATGTATTGTGACAGCAGCTGCACCTTTGCTTCCTGTACATCAAGATTCTTTGACATAAGTAGAGGCTTTCTGTATCCCCTTCGCCATCAAAGGTAATGTGGTATGAAAACAAGAGGTTCCATTTCCTTGGTGATTGCCATCCCACATCTTGGTCACCTCAGAGTTTTGCTTCATGCCTCTTCCCACAGGTGACCAGTGAAACAAGCTGATGTTGTCTTGCTTGGGTTTCCTCTCATGTACCCCATGGACCCAGAAGTCAGAAGGAATGATCTTGAGATCTATGAGCCTGTGACTGATCCTCAGGGG